GAAAGAGCAAGATCTATTGATTAGCTACTCAACATATTTGGAAAATGTCTTTCGAAACTCTTGACAGTCAAAATATTGAAGTTTCTGTGTTCTTTTTAACCAGGACAGCCACTTCGTCTAGGCTATGTCTTTCCAGTGCAGAGCGTTCCAGTGACGCAGTGACCAATTTCATCAGTTGGAAATTTGGCTGCTGGAAATCCTTAAGGCCCATTTGATTAATTTTAAACCAGATTGGTTGGTTGGCTATCATGTAAACATATGACCCAGGTGTGATCCTACTTGATTCCTCCCACTCTTGGCATTTAGGTCAGAAGAATGTCACCATTGAGTGAGGAGTCCAGTAAAACAGAAAGAGCTCACCTCAAGCTGGAAGTGAGAATAGCAGGAGGCTGAGGCAGAACTTGAACTGGGAAATTTACTCACAGTGTTATGGATTCATTATTCATCCCTTGAAAAGCATTTCCTGGTATGGTGGTTATGTGTAAGTTATCACAAATTTCCCTTGGGGAAAGAAATGAGAAATATTTACTTTCCAAATTTTAGCTGCAAATAGGAAACTGTTATGCATAGTAATAAGCCTGGTACTTACAGAATGAAATTAAATTCAGAGGAGAAGATCTTTGTAACATCTGGAAGTTTTCGGATGCCTGTGTTACAGATGCTCCTGTGATTTGGGGCAGTGTAGTGATGTGGGTAGGGAGTAGTTAAAAGTAATTGTTATTAAGGTGTAAAAATAAAAAGGAGTAGAAAAGCGCTTTCAAATAATAGTTTCACATTAAATTTTAAAATATTGAATATGACTTTATCACTTACACCTTAGCTGATGAAGATTGTCAATTTAAAAGCCCCTCATGCTGTGGGAGGAGTTGTTCTAATGACTCCTATTTAGCAATCTTGGGTCTGGGACCAGACTTTTCAGGTCTTTTTTTTTTTGGAGAGATTTTTCGCTATAGGGCGCGTGCGCTCGTCAGACAGACAGAGAGAGACATAGAGACAGAAAGCAAGAAATCACCCCCCAGGGGGGATGGTCACGCCGCAATCCCTTCTCCTCCATTCTCCTCTCGGGATCTTGGGCATGCACGCACACACGCCCGGCGTGAGTTTTAAGCCACCGGGTTCGGGACGCGAACCGCGGTTGACTACGTGGGAGTCCAGTGACATAGCCATTACGCTAACTGCTGGTTCCCTAGGTCTTTTTTCAACCTACCTTTTCCTATTATATCAAACGTTATTTTCTTATTGTATTAAACTCCCTTTCCTTTTGATAATTAGTTTATTCCATGCTTTTAATAATTCTAGAAAGCATCCCTCTACTTTGGAGCAGGTTTTAACTCAAATGCTTTAGAAAGATTAATCTCGGTGAGAAATTCCTCTCTCTCATTATTAAAACATCTTCCTTTATTTAGCTACCTTGTAATTGAGAAAGTTTTTTGTATGTATCTCATTGAAATTGTTAAACATTCCTTTGGTGGTTGGAGCTACTCAAGGCTCAGAGGCTTACATGATAGGAGAAACTAAAGAATATTTTCTTACAAGAATGAGACTCCTCCTGAGCTGTCCAGCATCTATAATTTCCTCAGACAAGTTTTAAATTCACCAGCCTGAGCTCTGTATAACTGATAGGAATTGCCTGGCATCCTGGCAACAATGAAACAAAGCAAAATTTCTCTTCTGGCTCTCTCTGGTTCTCCTCTTCATCTCTAACTCCGAATTGTACAGGATTTGTGCCCTCTCGGCTTAGGAATAGCAATGTGTGCTAGACTGCAAAGTGTATTTAGGGGAATAGTACATTTTTGGGTGAAAAAGTTATGCAATTAGGCAGTGATTCTTAGATAAGGAGATGCAAATGGTCAAATGGGGTTTCCTTATGTTCTTCCTAAGTGGTTGATACTTCAGTGTGCTTATATGCACCATAGAAGACCCCTGGTAGTCTGAGCAGAACACCTGGGTTTGGAGTTTTCTTATGTTCTTCCTAAGTGGTTGATACTTCAGTGTGTTTATATGCACCGTAGACGACCCCTGGTAGTCTGAGCAGAACACCTGGGTTTGGAGTTTGTCTGATGTTAGAGCTGCTAACCAAGCTGTACCATTTCTTGCAGCACCTCCTGTAGGAAGCCCCAGAGCAAGGCCTATAGCATGGCCCTTCCCACTCCCTCTGTTTCTCTTTTCTTTGTTTAGGTGGTAGTAGGATTTGGACTTCTGTCCTCTAGGAGGTTTATGACCTGTAATTTATAAGAGAGAAGAGAGAGAGGACCTTTGTTTTAGAGGAATTAAAATTTTTCTGTTTGAATATGGATGACTTGATATGTGAGAAATGTCCTATGAGTAAATTTATAGAGTATATAAAATTTCAGGAATTTTATTATTGCTGGCTTGGCAATGACTCTGTTGGGCTACAGAGATATTCAATATATAATGCTAACTGGTAGACTTAATGGGAAATAGAAAATAATGATTTCGTTCGTATGGCATGGTACCTACCTTAAGGCAGTACTTAAAAAGTTTTTATCTAATGAATGAACCAACATTTGAGATAAAGAAGATCAGTAATTCTCAACCAGTGATGAGAGTCAAATCAGAATTGCTTCTCCTGGGCCAGCTTCATAGCCTAGTGGTTAAGGGAGCTGGATCCTACATGGTTAATTTGTGGTTTGAGTCCTGGCCATAGCAGCCTGAAAAACATGCTGAGAATGTGTGTGTGCTCCATAGCCCAACAGATGGAGGAATGAAGGAGAAGGGATTGTGATGTAATCATGCCTCTTTGGGAGGTGCTTTCCCCCTGCCCCATCTGTCTCTTTGTCTGGCTAGATAGAGCGTATGCCCTTTGGCAAAGAAAAGAATTACCTCTCCTATTTTCTACTCACCTTAGAGATTCTGATTCATCTTTTTTTTTTTTTTTTAAGATGTTTTTGCTATAGGGCACAGGTGCTCGCCAGAAAGAGAGACAGAAAGCAAGGAATAACCCCCCAGGGGTTATGGCCACACCATAATCCCTCCTTCTCCATTCTCCTCTTGGGATCTTGGGCACACACACACACACACACACACACACACACACACACACACACACACACACACA